GGGGGGGCTAGTCAATTTCATGTCATTTAAGTTTAATTCATTTACTTAATTTAGTTGGTTTTGACTATGTTTACCAAGCAAAGTATTAATTGTCTTTCAAGCAGCTTTGGGATTTTGCTTTTCTGTAGAAATTTTTTTGGAGTAATAATCTCTTAATTAGTAGAGTGTTGGTTTCATTTCTGACTTTTTTTTACAGTTTTCCCAATCTGTTTCAAGTTTGGTAATGATTGCTCTTCTTTTCAAGTTGTCTCTTGCAGTCATTAAATGTCTTTTGTTATATAGCTAGCGTGAACACCAAACGTGATTGGCTGATTTGTGGTCACGTGACTTCAGATAAATGCAATGTTTCTCGCCGGGCAACAAGTGAAAAATTGTTGCCCGCCCCGACCGGCCACATACATAAATAAACAAAATGAAGGCACAACTCAGATAATTAGAAACTACGATTTCCCAAGTTTGTGTTCAAATAAAGAATATAAAAGAGAAGAAAAATACACAACAGGCAACAAGATATGCTGCTGAAACCGTTTAAGTATGTTCTTTTAATTTTAAACTCGTTTACACTATAGAATTTTCGTCACGAAATACAATTGTTGTATGGATGTTGTTCGTCGCTATATAACAAAACACTTAATGCCTGTTCCCTCGGGAAATAGTTAGTTTTGTTTTCCTTCGAATCTTAATGTTTCCCTTGACTTCGTCTCGGGAAACATTGAGATTCTCGGGAAAACAAAACTAACTATTTCCCTCAGGAGCAGACATTAAGTGTATAATATCACTACTAATCCAAGGGGATCGTTTAGATTTAATTTTCGTACTTTGAAGTGGAGCATGTTTATCTAGGACTTGTAAGGAAAGGTCCTTCCATATTTCCCACATAGTGCTAGGATTGTCTGCAAAAAAGTAGACATGCAACCCAATTAGATTGAGTTCCTAAGTAATGCAAAAAATTTTTTACCGAATTTTTTCATGTTTCTAGTTTCAATAATATTTTCATTTTATGGCTTACATTAATTTTTCTTTTACACCATGTTTGGAAATTTTCTCATTGGTAATAAAATGGTCAATAAGAGTAGAGGAAGATATAGTTATCCTTGCTGCTTCATCTATTAATTGGGATAAATGATAAATTTCAAATAAGGACTTAAGTTTCCTTGTTGGAAGGTCAGGATTGGGCTTAATGAGATCACAGTTAAGATCATCCAGAATATAGATCTCCTTATTTTCATCTTCAATCTCTTTTAATAAGTTTTCAAGATTGATAAAAACTCAGGTGATGCATCTGACAGTCTAGAAACTGTAATAACCGCAAATATATGGTCGACTTTGTGGTTTACTTATTTCAATGCATATGGCTTCTAAATCAGGTGGTATGAGATCATGTCTGATTTTGTAGTTTATAGAACTACGGAGGTAAATGCAGACCATTGAACTATAAGTAAACTGGAAGGCTAACTCAGGGGGGGGGATTGAAGCCAGTGCATTTTAGTTTTTCTGAGTTATGAGCAGAAATACTCAACACTGAACGTTGGGCTATATATCAAATTGAAGCTATTGAAAAACACTACTTGGTGTAGAAATTTCAAGACTTTAGCTAAAAGGGAAATAGTGAAAAACTACAAACATAATTACCGATAATTTGCCGTTTTGCAGTCGTTTTTGTATTTTTTAAATATTTTTCTTTTCGCTGAAGTCTTGAAGTTTCCACACCGAATAGCAATGTTCAATAGCTTCAATTTGATATATAGCCCGACGTTTGGGGTCAAGTATTTCTGCTCATAACTCAGAAAAACTATTTTGGCTTCATCAAATCATAGGCTTTCATCATAGCAGTTAGCCTTCCAGTTTATTTATAGTTCAATGATGCAGACACCACCACCATTTCTTGACATATCTTTTCGTATGATGTCATGGCCATCAATATGAATCATGCTATCAGGTATTGTTGAATTAAGTTTGGTTTCACTAAAGGACATTATATGTAATAATTTGTTTGACATAGTGAAATTAATTTCATCACATCTTTTTCGCAAGCTTATAACTATATTCAAAAAGGCCATTTTGAACCCGCGCCGATTTGGAAGACAATTAATTTTATCCGAGAAATCACTATACTCGTTTTTGTTGTAGCCTATTATGTAAATACATGTAACTATTATCTACTGTCGAATCATTTTGGCAACATGCGCTAAGTAAGTTAGGCATGTTGTGCAGTCCTTTGGGCGACTCGATTGTCGCCTGACTTGACAAAAACTCGGACTATTATTATAATTAGGGTTATCAGATCTTACAGACCTTAGATAGGAACACAATGTCTTACCAAGTGCACTATCACCATAATAATTTAGGTGAAGGTTTGATCTGTTCAACATAGTTTTGTCAATGTCGCTATTGTCAGTGAGTGTTATATAACTATATTGTGTTTCTTACACAATTCATGAACAAGATCATTAAATTCATTATTTAAATTTAAATTTGCGAATGCTCAACCTTATTGTCATACCTTTTAATAATGCTTGAAACAGCAACCTTTTCAGCCTTACTCTTTGCTTCCATAAAGAGATCTTCCATTTATTTAGCCGCCACTTTTGCATCATCTGTTACTAGGTGTTGGTACCCACATGCAGATACAAGGTTTGGAATATCAGGTGATTCGTCTGGTGTGAGATCTTGAATGGTTGAAAAGCTGTTTGAAACTATAGATGCATAGCTTTTCGGTGCAGGGTTTTTGGTGTCCTGGTCGTGTTTGAAGGCGTTTTCTTTTCAATAGTGATCCAGTCATTTTGTTTCAAATGCAATATATTTTTCATTTTATCTTTTTCACTTGAGATTTTCTGAATAACATTTTTTAGTGTGTCGATCTCGTATGCCATTTTGTTGTTATTTCTATGTTATTTTCCGTTTTAAATTCACTTTCCTGTTGTTTCTTCAGCATCTCAACGATAAGATTGTTCATTCTTGTTATTTCTTCTTTAAAACTAGATATCTCAGCGTCTCGCAACTATTGCAATTTTCGTTGACGTTAGCGGTTTTTGTTGTTGTTGTTGTTGTTGTTGTTGTTGTTGTTGTTGTTGTTGTTGTTGTTGTTGTTGTTGTATCCACGTAGTAATCAGCATTGATTGAAATGTTCTCGGCCGATTTCTTTGCCATTTTATCGTTTAATAGCTTTGATCGGGCATCTGTAACCGTATAATTTTCTTCTTTTACTATAATCAACTTGTTCTTGCATATTCCAAGCCATTTTAAGCCAATATCGGTAGCTTCGTTTGTAAAATGCGTTACATCGCCACCAAGCGACGTCCAAGTACCAACGAGATTCAAATTTTCGTTACAAACCGTTTTTGCTGGCCAATACTTCCATTGCAAACGAAATCATTTCCACATTTACCCAACACTTCGTCTAGCTTGATTTTATTTAGGTTTTCGTTCCCTGGTGTTTGGGAATTACTATTATAATCAATATCATTCACGGAGCGAGTACAAATCCGAGTATCCGCCTTGTTGGTTATGTCAATTGAGTGCGAACCTTACACAGTTATTCTGTTTGTGATAGTGATGATAAATAACTTTATACTTAATTACTGATAACCTACAGTATGTGAAGTTCATATCACGAGTGCCGGTACTGTATGTTTTACATAGTATATAAGTAAATAAAGACCTACAAATATAATCATAATATTAAAATATAATAAAATCTTGTGATTAGAAAGGGCATGATAACCGTTGTTGTCGGAAAACGTCGGAACACGACGCCATGGTTTCCTGCGGTCGGTGAAAAAACAGCACGAACCGCAACCGCAAATTGCACGAACCACAACCGCATATTGCACGAACCGCGACCGCCAACCGCACGAACTGCGACCGAACCGTAGTGTTAACTTACTTGTAGGCAGTACTGTAAATGGCCGGAAATTTTAAGTTGGTTGCTTAATTGCAGCTTTCGTAAGAGAGAATACCGACAGCACAACAAGACAGCGGTCTTCACGATTGAATTTCAATTTACTGTCAAAACGTTTTTGTGCATAAATATCAGCGGTTTAAGGTGTCTCGGTATAGATATTAGGGAATTTTCGAATATAAGACGGCGACGTCCGGACGACGGCTAAACAAACTGTTCGAAATAAATGATTCCATGGAAATCTTGTCTTGTATTTTCTTTCGTATGAATTTAAAATAGTTTCGAACGGGTTAAACAGAGCTTTAACCTTCAGAGCAATTTTGATCAATTCTGCTAGAAAAACTACCTGTCACGGCGTGAAATGCTAGCGTACTATGCGAGACGTAAAAATATGCCTTTTGCTGTTGTCAACAGAGCTTGGACGACGTCTAAAACCCGACTAAAACTTTTAATTATTCATTTCTTTTGTGCTATAGGATTAATGTCATTGTATATTGATAGCCATCGTCCTGACGTCGCCGTCTTACATTCGTAAACTCCCTATAGTTAATTTAAGAACACCAATAACTCTTCCACAATTCTTCTCATATACTATAAAAGGCATGAACTATCGTTTATACCCAGAACAAACTCGCTATTACAGACTATTTTTTTATAGCTATTCCATGCCTAATATACTGCATTTAGACATTTTACTTTCAGTCTTGACAGCCTTCTCTACCCTTCTATAACTATGATTTGCGTTTTGCGGCAAGCATTGTTTAGAACGCCAAAAGGTGTAGCAATTTGACACACTGTATATGTACAGCTATGAAAACACAGGGCAGTGCAGCGCTTAAATCGCATAAAGGCTGCTAGTTTTTATTATATCTTCAGTTCAACAACGATAAAATCAACCCATATACAGCATTGGTCATACTATTCAACTAGTTCATATAAAATGAACATCTTGTGCTGGTCCGGGTTAGCTTCGTACCCTAGTGACATACTTCTACGTGACACCCAAAATCTGGGTGCCACGTGACCAGCCTGTGTAAGGGTTTTTGTTGCAGCGGCTTCGGAGGTAGCGGAATATTACCGATTTCGTTCATGAAATGAGTAACCCTGTAATTTAAAAGGGTGCTCATTAGGTTCCTCATTTCATAGGTGCGATTCTGATATTGACACGATATCGATTTCGTCATGAGATAACACAAACTCCTGCAATACGTCGCGGTTGTTTCGAAGACACTGAATATTTTGACGTACCATTTTTAAACCTTTACTTGATAACTGTCGCTTGAATTCTCGTCTCGTTAAGGAATTCAGTCTGGGACATGTCTCAACATCCCCACCCAACAATAGCAGTAACATCGAAATATTATTTGAATGGTGTACTCTGAATCTCTTCGCCGTACTAACATGCAGGGATGAAATACATAACTTTCTTCCATAAAACACCTCAGGTAACTGCATTGACAATGCAATAACATCAGGGCTAACAAATGCACGCTTCTTGACGAAGAATATGCATACAATTATTGAAATTCGTAACAAAATCGTAAATACTTCAGGAAAAAATCTCAGACGTCCGACCGCCATTTTAAATTCAGGCTATATGTTAAATTCAGGATATATATGAAGGGAAAACTCTGAGCATCAGATTGAGAAAAAACCCGTTTAGATTTTGTGTTTACTACAAACGCCACTTCCCTGTTGAGCTCACTAAGTCCCCTCCCCTCTCCCCCATCCCCTTAATATATTTATTAATTTAATCAGGTGTCAATTTTATTTCGCATTTAAAAATATGTTAATTATTTAGGGAAATGTTTTAAATC